CGGCTTTGCTCCCGGTGCCTCTGGTCTGCTGGGGACCATCTCCAGCAGACCAGGGACACCGGGAGCAAAGGAGGCGGAGGGGCGCTGGGGTATAAGATGAAACCCTATCTTTTAATTAAAAAGATAGGGGGTCGTCTTATACACCCAGTCGCCCTATACGCCGGAAAATACGGTATTTCAGAAAGTAGTACGTTTATTAGCTTGATTGTGTGTCTGTCAGCATTTTTAAAACAGGATTTAATTTATGATTATTCTGTGAGAAAAAATGTTCCTATTCTGCTGCATTGTATACATTCTGATTCTGAACTGTGAACAAGTGTTAAACTGAGGTATTTTCTATTATAGATTATTAAGATTGCTTGACACTTCTGATTATAATGCCCTATTTTTGGTTGCTTATCACTTTATCAAACTGACTGTTAAAGCTGAAATTTTATATACTAGCAGTCCGCCTGAGTCAAAATAAATATTTTTGGCACAGAAAACCTTAATTTTGGCATTTCTAAACTTCTGAATGACTTTATTCTGCAATCTTACTAGTGTGTTGATTTAATGTAGTGGGTGTAATTACTATTACTGTTACAGCACCAGTGTACAGTATAAGTCCAAGATACATTCAAAAAAACTTGGACTCATAGCGAAACAACTTAAAGCGGGGAATATTTTCGTGTGGCTGATTTCCATTTGCACAATTTTTTTTTGCACGACTCAAGAGCAGGGAATGGGAGGATGTATAATGCTTCAGTTCCTACAACATTACAACATTAGTGCAGAATAGACGTATACCAGGGCGACTTATAGCAGAGATGCCCTGTAAAGCCATGTTTAAAAAAAAAAAAAAAAAAAAAAGAGAGAGATGCTCTTCATGCAAAAGTGTTTACATTCTATGGCTCTAATCCTGTGTAAACTTAAGCATAAGCATAACTGATGTGAATAGTCCAATTAGAGTCAATGGGACTATTCACATAATTAAAACTATACAAAAGCTTAAATACATACAGGACTGGGGCCTTATTAGGCAATATATGAACACCAGTACAGGGAAATGAGGTGATACAAGACAACATGAAATATCAGTGTGAATGAGCAGACACTTTTAGTTCCACAATTTGTTTGTTTTTGTTCACAACTTTTGTTTACTTCCCTGAGGAATTGGCTTAGGAGGATTTATAGGAAGATGTGTGTATTTTAACATGAGACAGAGCAAGAGAGGGTAAAGGCACTGTAGAATGGGTCGGTTTGGTAATAATTTCTTTCATTCATTTCATGCCATAGGAATAATCTAAGTCAGTGTTTTTTCAACCTGGGGTTTTCTATTCAAAACTAATAATTTACATGTCAGCAAATACTTTTTTTAAAAAGAGCATTGGAAATTTTAGACATTTATTCAGAAGGCCAGTAAGTTTCTGGAATATGAAGTTCTTAGAACTACTCCAGTGACTTGAACTCCATCCCCACTGATCATTCTTCCGAGAGGTTGAAAGAGATTATAATTCAGTTTTCTTGCCATAGTAATTAAGATATGATTTTTCTTGAACCAAGATGACAAATATATTCATCCTCTTTGTTATATACTACACTCAGCACAACCTATCCAATCCTTCACTCCAAAATCATCCACTTATTTGATGCTATCAGTTCATTATTCAAATCCTTTCACTGGCTCCATTTATTGTATCAAAAGTAAGCTTCCTGTTCTTACAACGTTTTTGTTAAAAATCTCCCCTCCTCTTTTACACCCCTACCTGTAAGTAATTTTCACTTTGTTGAAGCTGCTTTTCTGAAGGATTCCAGCTTGTCCCCCTTCCAAGCCTACCTCTATGCCTTCCTTCTACAGTCTATTAAGGTCAGGAGGAGGGTTCTAAGACATCTCCACTCTATTCTCCTTATGGCCCTTCTCCAAGGAGATTTTATAAATGATTTGTCTTCTATGTATTTTAAAGAGTATTCCTTAAAGTAAAATTTTAGGAAGTAACTATGATAAGGCTATTAAGATAAGAATGAATTTGTATACCAACCAAAGTACAGTAAACTTCCAATAATCCAGCACCTTTGGGACCCAGGGGGTGCCGGATTATTGGATATGCTGGAGTACTGGAAGGAGGGCTATGAGGGGTCTGGGAGGCGGGGGAGGGTCAGCGGGGAACTGCACAGCATGGGCAGCACTCTAGCTGCTCTGCCCCCGGCTTCTCCAAGTCCACTGCTGGTCAGTTTCAGGAGTGGTGGACTTGGGGAAGCTGGGGGCAGAGCAGCTGGGGTGCTGCTGGGTTGGTCCTGCAGCGCTGCCCCTCACCTGAGCGGCGCTGCGGGACCAGTCCAGCAGCACTCCAGGTGCTCTGCCCCGGGCTTCCCCAAGTCCGCCGCTGATTAAATTGACCAGCATCGGACTTGGGGAAGCCAGGGGCAGAGCAGCTCCAATTGTCCGGCTGGCCAGAGCACTTCCGGGTTCCAGTTGGTGCCAGACTATTGGGAGTGCTGGACCACTAGATGCCGAACACCTGGCGTTTTACTGTAATTTACCTAGTTGAGCCAAACTGCTCACCCTCTTATAATTGTATTATTTCTCTCAAAAATATGTTTAGTCATTATATTTATTAAACAAATACACTTCTACGATTTTGGTAACAATTATAGTCAAAATTAGAACCTTCCAGGTTTGACAGTTATTCTGTTATGCAAAATTAAAAACAATCATAAATTGAAATGAATTTTTCCACACATGCAGCAAGATTTCCCCATGTCCTCTCTTTAAGAATAAATATCTACCTGGTCAGCATTTTTATGTCTGTGTAGAGTAGAACCCTGCACAGATACAAAATTTGTATCTGCATCCACATCTATATCTGCAAAAATGAGCTGTGGATATCTGTGGAATTGCTGGGCTCTACAGATAATGATCCACTGAAAATCTGCTGAAGCAAAGTTGCAACACCCATGATGCAAGCTAACTGCATATTAATTTGTAATAATTGTTGTGATTTAAAACTTCACTTTTGAACTCACCTTGGATCAGGCGGAGACAATTTATTATTCAGGTTCTCATATCCAAATTGATTTAGTATTGTAACCACAAGCATAGGTGCCAAAGACTGGGCAGGCTTAGTAAATAAAGCATTGGTACCAAAAACCATTGAGGAAAGTGGTGATCTGAAATATTCAGAACAAGTATTAATCTACATTACATAGTATATAAACATACAACTCTTACAGTACTTATGTTCATTATTTAAGAATCAGTCTCAAATATTAGCCATTAGGATACATAACTGCATACTTACCACTAACATTAAACTTTTTCATCCCTACTTCAAACAAAGCAATTTGACTGTTACTCAGAATAATTTCAAGAAAGTCTTGTATGTAGACTTGGGTGGAAATGTTGTATCGAGAATATTTTTAAATTGTAAGTCAAGCCATTGCATCTTCCATTTATTAAAGAAATTTCAATATTCCATTTATGAGATTTGGTCTACACAGACAGTGACCCCAATCCTGCAAGGACTTACACTCAGGTTCAATGTTAAACACTGAAAGCTAATGGAACTATTCAGAGGTGTAAAGTAATTTAAGTGCTTTAGTCTCTGCAGGGTTGTGGCCTTAAAGGGAGCCTGATTTCTCTTCTTCCCTTCAAATTGCACTGAAGCTAGAAACCCCACTGGTATATAACAGCAAGTTAGTTGCACTTTGGTATAAATCCAAAAGGTACACGAATCACAGTGGAGGATATCACAGCAAGTTTTATCAATTTTTATTTTAAAATATATCAGCAGCTACAAAACTTTGAATTTGCTTATTAAGTAGTATAGTTCAAACATTCAATATCGTCTCTATATTAGAAAGGCCCCCTTATGCCTGTAAGTAATATTAGACATGGAAGTATTTGGACATAATCTAGGAAAAAGTTATTTAATAACAGATACAATTTCAAAAGATTTACAGTAATGTACAGTAATAATGAATTCCTATTCATTTCTCATATTAAACGTAAATATAAAATTGAAACTTCTTAAAAATAGCTGCAACTTTAAAAAACAAAACTTTTAAAATAAAATTAAGAATCCTTTTTGATCAATATGTTCAGAGTGTTTTGTGAATGAAAACTTAACTTTAGTATACAGCAGGAGTTGCCAAACTGTGGCTTGTGAGCCATATGCAGCTCTTTTACCAGTGAAGTGTGGCTTGTGGAGCTGCACCACGCACCCTCAGTCTTCATCTACCAGATGTAGAGGGGTGGAAGAAGAAGAAACTTGGGACCTTTGCCTTACAGAGAGGTGGTACGATAGGGGCTTCTGCCCAATGGGGTAGAAGGGAGGTGTCTTGGGGCTTCTGCCCAGCAAGGATGGGGATCTAAGGACTTCTCCCAGGGCGTGGGGCTTCAGGAGTGGACTCAGACTCCAACCTCCAGCTCCCAGTAGATTATGCCCTGGCTCTCGAACTTCTGAAGATTATCATATAGGAGTTGGAGGTAGTGTTCCCACTAAGCTGCACAGCAGCACAGCTTCACAGGTGATTAATCAGCCCTGCCCAGTCAGTCAGCTCCATGTATGGAGCCCTGAGCCTCTGATTGGAGAGCCAGGAAGTTTAATCAAATCTGGTATAGAGAATTTGATGACAATAGCTGCCCTGGCTCTCGAACTTCTGAAGATTATCATATAGGAGTTGGAGGTAGTGTTCCCACTAAGCTGCACAGCAGCACAGCTTCACAGGTGATTAATCAGCCCTGCCCAGTCAGTCAGCTCCATGTATGGAGCCCTGAGCCTCTGATTGGAGAGCCAGGAAGTTTAATCAAATCTGGTATAGAGAATTTGATGACAATAGC